CAGTTTTCTTCTTTCCTTACAACCCTGACTGTTGTTCTAAAGACTGAACCCAGGACCTCAAGCAATGTGGGCAAGCGTTGTAACACTAAGTTACATCCCCACTCCTTTTTCAAAAATTGGAGATGAATTTCTCAGGGTAGCTTGAATTTGTGATCCCCCTACCTGAGCCTCCAAGTAACCAGGATTATGTTAGGCAAATTGTGTGCTACAAAAGTTATGTTGTGGTAGCATTCCCCTGTAGTCCCAGGTACCCCAGAAACTGGAACAGGAAGATTACAAGTTGGACCCCAGCCTGGGCAACTTAATGAGACCCTATCTCAAAAAAATAAAAAAAGGGCTGGGAATACAGTTAAGTGGTCCCTGGATAAGGGATGAAAAATAGTAGGTAAGGTTAATGTTTAAAGAATACCTGCTCAGGGCCCAGGGAGATAGCTCAATAGAATAAGTGCTTGCCTGGCAAGCACAGGGTCCTGAGTTCAATCCCTGGTACTGCAAAAAAAAAAAAAAAATTCTTTAGGGCTGGGGAGATAGCTCAGTGGCATAAGCGCTTGCTTGGCAAGTACAAGTTCCTGAGTTCAATCCCTGGTACCAAAAACAAACAAACAAACACCAGGACCAAGAATACCTGCTCTCTGCATCCTCCCTTCTTTTGCATAGGTTGGGGTCAGTTGTGATAATAGTAAGCCACTTTAAATCATGAGAACAAGAACAACCTATAGGGCACAGTTGAAAAATAATGTAGAAGGAACTTGGGTCCTGAATTATTTTCTGAAGCACAGAATACTTCTGGACTTAAATAAAAAATGTTTATCTTATGATAACTACTGTATTTTTTTTGTCACTTCATTATATAGCTTATTGTGCACTAAGAGAAAGTTGTACCTGAACTGATGTGTCACAGCAACAAAGATCTAAGGTGTACTGTGTATGACACTGGTTACAGGTTGATGACTCTTCTCAGGTAGTTTTGGGAAAATGTGACCTCAGGTATTTGGGGAAAAACTGGAAAGCAGATTATAAAATTTATAACTCTGAGGAAGTGGGTTAGAGATAGTTGAGTTTGTGTAAACTATCACTCTTTGCTGTAGCAAGATTCAACCAAAAGAGATGATGTGAGTAAAGAATCAACTAAATAGGCCAAGCAGATAGCTCAACGGCTTAAGCGCCTGCCTGGCAAGCACAAGGTCCTGAGTTTTGATCCCTGGTACAAAAACAAAAAAAGGGGGCAGGGGAGACGACTCCATAGAACAAGCACTTGCCTGGCAAGCATATGGTCCTGAGTTCAATCCTTCATACCCGCAAAAAAAGTAAATAAATAAATAAAACAAAAATGAAGAATCAACTAGTTTTCAAGCAGAGGTGGAAAAAGGCAGAATGCTACTACTGGAGCCCCTACATAACATCTGCCTCTGTTATCAACCCACATACTAAGTATCTCTGAGAGTTCAGTTTGGATACATATCTGAAACATTTTGTTATCCTCTTGTCTTTTCACAATTACACAAAGATGGGGCCAGGGAGATGGCTCAGTGGAATAAGCGCTTCCCTGGCAAGCACAAGGGCATGAGTTCAATCCCCGGTTCCACCAAAAAAAAAAAAAAAGTAAAGCCATATTAATATGCTGAGCTGTCAAAGGCTCAAGTCAACAACTTCTGACATTGCCAGTCTTACAGAAAACAATTACACAAAGACAAAGCTATGATCCTTGAGAAATCAACTTTTCCAATCTTTTCAATATGTGGCTTGTCCAAGGTCAACTGACCAACTCATTAAGTTCAGTGACCTTTGTTCAGTCTTTATTTGGCGCTGTACAAATGTTGCTCCTTGAGCCCTGTAGATAGAACAGGCAAGGCTTCTAATCCCCTCCCTTAACAGGTCCAACCCTTTTGTGTTCACAGCTTGTCTTTGCCTCAATCTATGTTCCTTTAAAAGGGAGACCCCAACTCAGTGGCTTAAAGACATTAAAAATTTCTATCTGAAATTACAATAGAGGGTGGTCTGGGGCTGGTAGGGCTGCTCAGTCAGCCTTGACACACAGAGTTTTGTCTCAGCATCTGAAACAGTCAAGGAACCTCACAACCCAGGGACAGTATGGATAGAGGCAGGGCAAGTGAAATATAAGC